CACACCGACCAGGAAAACGTCATGAATACTCCTTTGTATTAACTTCCGTTCGACAAACTGACGTTACTTATCGTATTTGACACGCCTTTCAAACTGTGATCAAAGTCCAAGTTAAGGTTGCAAACACTCTACCATCATGTCCGATATCGGCTCTGACGTCGAGCAAACTGCTGAAGAATTCGAACAACAACTTCGAGTCAGAAATGTTCAAAATACGAAAAGAAATAACCGAGCACTGAAGAGAAAGTTTGTTGTGCTTCGAGCGCGTGATATGAGATTTTGTGCTGTGCCGCGCCGAAGCAGAATGTCGGATCTGAACAACGCGGGAAGAGTACAAGACATCCATTTCACGCAAAATGACTCCTCAGAAGCCATGCTGGCGCTCATAATAGCTACCTTTCCTTTTCTTAGAATGGAAAGCAATCTTCCTGCAAGGTAAGGCAGCATAATTTAGTATAATATAATATTCAGTATAGTATAATATTTGAGATATATATAACGCGCGCGCTGAATGACTGCTTAATATGTTTATGAGGGCTGAGACAAGCTCAATCAAAATTTTTCACTTTTTAAAAGATATAATATAAGACGACTGCCTTTCTATGCATACGTATTGTGATATAAAACATACTGGGAGTTTTGTAACATGCACTAGAAGCGTACTATAACGACAGTCATTTTCATTCATGACAAAAATTGGCTTTATTCGCACATCTGATCCGCAAGAAGCATATGTCAATCAAAATGTAACACTGCATGACGTGTATCATCATTGCCTTATTTTTCTTCTTCGCTTCTTTGCAAGTTCTGATTTACATGATGTTGCTTTGTCTTTTGAGAGTCCAGCAACTTCAAAATCAATTTGTGCTCCAAATGAATAATGGAAGACGGCGACGAAGATTTCAGCCGTATTGGATACTACCTAGGCTATCGACTTGAGCCGCATTAGCTGGGCCTTTGCCTTTCCCCTAGTTTTCCTTGCCTTTTTTGCCTTGTTCATTGCTTGAATAGTTGTAGTTATCTTGGACGCCGGTAGTTTGCGCGCCATCTCTATCTGACTTAATGTTTTGCAATAAACTAGTTAAGATGAATCCATTTGCCATCAGTACCTAGTAGCGCCAAATGCATATGTTTCTGTTAAGGATCAAGAAATTTGACAGTTTTGACGTTTGACCAAAATTTTGTCCTGCTTATGGCTGCCTGTTTGTAGCAATATTTAATCCTCTTGATGTGCCTTTGATTTAAACTTTATA